TACACCTTCATGATAAAAATACTCAACAAGCTAGAAATAGAAGGAAATCACCTCAACATAATAAAGCTATATGTGAAAATGTATGCGCCACAGCTAACATCATACTCAATGATGAAAGACTGAAAGATTTTAAGATCAGGAACAAGGTGAGATGCCCACTCTCACCACTCCTAGCCAGAGCAATTAGGCAAGAAAAATAAAAGACATCCAAATTGGAAAGAAGTAAAATTTTATCTATTCTCAAATGACGTGATTTTATATATAGAAAATCCTAAAGATTCTACAAAAAGAAAGTTAGAAAAAATGAATTCAGCCAAGTTGCAGGATTAAAAATCAACACACAAATATCAGTAGCTTTCTACACATGAACAATTGGGTAATCTGAGAGAAAAAAAATTACAAAAACAATTCTCTGCTGCGCAGGCAGCCTCATTCATACACCCAGTTCCTGCCGCACTATGAGAGTCCTCCAGTTTCCTATCCCTCCACCTGCCTCAGCCTCAATGAGGGGCTTTCTAAAGTCAGCTAGCTGAAGGCCACAGAGTCCTAAACTGGAGATTCTCTAGAAACGGGCTTCTCAGAAACCAGGCTATCCCCTGTGATTAAATTTTAGTTTCCCTTCCATTCTTGGCACAGGTCCAGGCTCACCTGGCCACTCGCATTCATGACTTCTCAGTTAAACTAGAGATGCCAATTTCTACTTGCTTTTTCTTTAAAAAAAAAAATAAATAAATAAAATTCTTTTTTTTTAGAGAGGGAGGGTGAAGGAAAGAAAGAAACACTAATGAGAATCATGGATTGGCTGCCTTCTGCATGCCCCCTACTGGGGATCAAGCCCACAACCCAGGCATGTGCCCTGACAGGGATCAAACCTCAACCATTGGCCCACACTGGCGGGCCATTTACTTTTTCACTTACATCAGTTGGGACTGCCCAATGAGCCTGGCTAAAAGCAGAGCCATTTGGCTGGGGAAGCACCTGAGATTTAGCTATGGCAACCAGCTTGGGCCCTGGTGCTGGGGTTGGCCAGAGCAGGCCCTGTCCCTACTTCCTAGCTCACCATAACCAGGAGGGGTTCCAATCTGTGTTACCGTGGGAACTGGAAGCCTTCAAGGAGGCCGATGAAAGCTTGGAAGATTTGCTCTCGCTGAATGACTGGAGCTGCATCTCTCGCCTCTTCCCCAGAACCAAGGATCTGAGGCGGCTGCAGATGTGGGCGCACCCTCAGGCCCTGGGGGCTAACTTACTGCGAAAGGTCCTGGGGCTGACTTGTCCCTTAGGAGTGTCCTGGATCGACCTCTTCGCAGGCTATGCCACAGCCACTCTTGAGCTCCAGGTTTGTTTCTCGCTCAGCCTACAGCAGGGCCCACCCCGGGGTCGACCTCTGCCACTGACTTTGTTGCCAGGAGGCCCCAAAGGAGGAATCCCAAGGCTGCCTTGAGGCCTCTGTCACCTTCAACCTCTTCTGCCTCCTCACACGGCACCTGAAATGCGTTGCCAGTGAAGACCTGCCCATCTGAGAACTGGGCCCACCCCAGCCTGTCCGGGGCCCAGACCTTATTTACACAGAAGTCCCACCCAGGCCTTACGTTGTTTCCTCTCACCCCGTATTTATGAAGCATCTGCCCTGACTCATAAGAAATTTTTATTTTTCTACAGTTGAATCAGTAAGGGATTGGAAAGAAAGAAGAGCTAACTACCAATTTTTAGAAAATTGAGAGAACATAGGAATAGCAGGGGTTACAATAAGCAAAATATAGACTCTGGCAAACTCTAAAGGACATTCTGGTTTCTTCAACAAATACATTTCAAGGCAAAGAGAAAGATGGGGCCCCTATACTCTATAGGGACATTTTTTAGAGTAAATGTGATTTAAAGAGCTATCCACCAGCCCTAGCTGGTTTGGCTCAGTGGATAGAACTGCAGACTGAAGAGTCCTGGGTTTGATTCTGGTCAAGGGCACATGCCTGGCTTGTGGGCTCGATCCAGTGGGGGGCATGCAGGAGGCAGCCAATCAGTGATTCTCATCATTGATGTTTCTCTCTCCCTCTCCCTTCCAATCTGAAATTAACAACAACAAATTTAAAGAGCTATCCACCAATTGCAATGTAGAGACCTTATTTGGACCTGATACAAACTTTTTTTTTTAACGAGTCCAGGTGCACGAAATTCATGCCCTCAGAGGAGGGTCCCTCAGCTTGGTCTGCGCCCTCTTGCAATCTGGGAGCCCTTGGGGATATCTGCCTGCTGGCTTAGGCCTGATCCCCACAGGGAGCAGGCCTAAGCCGACAGGCGGACATCCTCTCACAGTCCAGAACCCCTCGCTCCTATCGCCCACCTGCTCATTGGTCCTTACCACCCAGCTCACGGCTCCTTAGGCTGCCTTGGAGGCAGGAGAGGCCCCCTCCACTGCCACTGCGCTCGCCAGCCGTGAGCCTGGCCTCTGGCTGAGCAGCACGCCCATCGTGGGAGCACACTGGCCACCAAGGGCCGGCTCCTGCATGAGCATCTGCTCTCTGGTGGCCAATGTGCATCACAGTGACTGGTCATTCCTATCATCCCGCCGTAATGGCTGCTTAGGCTTTCATTATATAGATACATTTTTATTAATTTCAGAAGGAAGGGGGAGGGAGAGACAGGTAGAAAACATCAATGATGAGATGCCTCCTGGATGTCCCATACTGGGGACTGAGCCCACAACCTGGTCAAATGCCCTGACAACTATGAATCAAATGGTAAGCTCCTGGTTCACAGTGGATGTTCAACCACTAAGCCACACCGGCCAGGCCAAATTGTTTTTAAAGTATCTATACTAATAAGAGGGTAATATGCAAATTGGTCAGGATGCCCTCACAGTAATGACTGAAAAGCAAGCTGCATGGGGCGACCAAGCCAGCAGGGAGTTTAGTGAGGAGTGACCAAATGACCAAACAGCAGGCTGCATGGGGCAACCTGGCCAGCAAGTGGGGCAGTGAGGGGCAACCAGGCCAGCAGGGGGCGACCAGGCCAGTGGGGGGGTGGGGGGCAGTTACGGGCAACCAGGCTGGTGGGGTGGGGGAAGAGGGCGATCAGTCCAGCAGGCAGAGGCAGTTGGGGTGATCAGACTGGAGGTGGGTGGGGGGAGGGGGCAATTAGGGGCAATCAGGAGGGCAGGCAGGTGAGAATTAGGAGCCAGCAGTCCTGGATTGTGAGAGCGATCCCAGATTGGAAAGGATACAGGCTGGGCTAAGGGGACCATGCACGAATTTCATGCACCAGACCTCTCGTGGATTTATAAGACAACTAGACATGGGGGACAGTGACTGGATAGTCGTCACTATAAAGGAATTGCTATAAAATTTTAGACATAATGGTACTGCATTTTAAAAGTCCTTATCTTTTAGATTCACATACTGGAATAGTCACAAGTGAAATAGATGTCTGGAATTTGCTTCAAAGGAATTCAGGGGGGGGGTGTGGATGAACAGGTAGAGAGGAAACCAGGTTGGCCACAACTTGGAAACTGTTGAACCGCTAAAGCTGAGTTCAATGCACATGGAGATTCATTGTATTTCTTTGGTAAATTAAAAGGTTTTTTAAAAGAGCAAGTGGGAAAAATGTGGTTTAAGAAAGATAATAGCATCTGGGACCCAACCCTTCCAGCTACTGTCCCACCCTCTTCTTCATTTGGCTTCCACCTGAGTTTCATGTGGCTGCTCCATTCCAGCCAGCACGGCCTCTCCAGCCAAGGAGGAGCAGGGTAGAAAGGACAACTTAGAAGCCACACGAAGCACTTTTGTATCCCAGGGACCAGACAGTTATATGGCCATGCCTGGCTGCAGGAGAGGCTGGAAAAGGCCGTTTTTAATTCCGGATGGCCATGTCTGAAAATCAGGGCTTCCATTTTCAAGGGAGAAGGGGTGAATGGAGATCAGGGTTCAATTTGCTGCAGCTCTCATCCCTCTGACACTAGTACAGGCATGTGGGTGCCACAGATGGGTGCTCGGAGCTGGCAGCAGAGCAAATGTACATCTGGTGGGCCTGATGATGTTTAAATATGCTTGTCATTTACATATACAAATTAAGCAATCTGCTGGAAGTCTCTGCTCTACTTTGGATGCAGAAGCAAGTGTCTGGCTTCCTTTGCTCTCCCAGGCTGGGTGTTCACCCCTAGGAAGCCGCTGCTCCTGGCAGCCAGGATGGTGGGCGCCATTTCCTATGATATAGCTAAAACCAAGCCCAGCACCTGGGCCTTGATATGGCCCAAGGCCTGGATATTTGTTCAGCCAGTGCCTGAAACGGAGAAACTTATTCAGTCTCTTCCCCTGCAACTAAGCCACCGTGTGGGGCCAACCCAGCAGTGGATTCAGCATCGTGGGCACAGGTCACCCCAAACAACTGCTGCTCATATACCATCCTTAAGATTTTTGCCATATTTTGCTTTGGAGTCAACCATCATTTTTTTAAAAAACCACAAATTTATTTTTAAAGGGATTTCTTGACATTGCTGTAGATGGAAAACCAGTATGCCTATACTAAAAAGGTAACTGAAAACCTAGCTAAGATTCTGCCAAAGGCTCTGAGCCCGACGCCTGTTTTCTCTTTGTTAAAGACAAGCTAGCATTAAACTGACTTCCTCCTTGAGGCATTTAAATGGATCGAAAGAATTAAAAACAGAATTAATTTTTTCATTACAGCCTTCAAATATTATTTAATGACTGTCAGTCACCGCCAACAGTAATTTCTCCTGGGCAACATGGCTGCACTCTGTACACCTGTTTCCCCATCTGTAATCTTATAGGAGTGTTGAGACTATTATATACGCTCTAGCATGTAAAGTCTCAGCATATAAAGTGCCTAGCTCACAGTATAAGCACGCAAATGCTGGCTCTTATTATTTGTCAGTTTCATGGAGAAGAAAATGTTATTAAAGAACTAAATATAGCTTGAGGGGGGGAGAGAATTGAGTATTCAAACTTCAAAGCAGCAGGGAAGGGCGACATAAAACCACAAAGACTTTATTTAATAATGGAAGACACTTTATTTTTTTTTATATCATCTCTCAACATTTCAACTCTTGGTAGAAATCAAATGCAAAACATCTGCACTTTTAAATTAGCATATAATTAACTTTCTCACTCACAGCAACTTCATACAGTAAGACACACACAAAGGAGGAGCTCAGTCAGAGCAGTTCCTGTTCCAGTCCACGGACACGGTATTTCCGGGATGATACAGATACTGGACTTTCTCTCTGAGAATAAGGTAGCCATGCCTGCTTTTGTCCACTGCATAAGTTACGTGGCATCATGGCTGGTTAAGAGTTACTGTAGTGCTGGAGTGATGTGGAAATGGAAAACTAGAAAACTAGAGCTCTCAGGAGTGGGACAGGCATTAACACTTCTGAAATGTGGAAAGGAAGAACATCAAAGATGAATGCCCCAGAAAGGGGTGATCTTAGTAATAAAGTTAGTTGAAATTCAGCTTTACATACACATTGAATATCTACATCTGATCTACTAGATATATAAAAAAGCCATAGAAGATTTGAAAATCCTTAAAATCACTCAACTGAGTTGGAAGAATACCAGCAAATTCACAGTGGCCTCAGGATTCAGCCAGATCTAAATTTGTTCAAGAGCTGAATACCTCCTTCCACCAGAAAACCCACTGAATGTAAATTCCTATAACATTCTGTACATCACATTTATGGCTAGAATATATTATTATTTCACAAGGAATCAGTTTTATTTTCAAACTCTTGCCCCACTCCTGCTCTGCACCCCGAAAGGAAAATCCAGGGCTCAGTCATTCACATGAGGAGTTTAAAGGGCCTTCGGGTTTGGAAATGCTTAGGCTCAGCTGAGAATCTCCAGACACACCTATTCATGGGTGCATGCCAGCTCCTGCCCACTTTTAGTGCAAAAAGATCGCAAACGTTGCAGAGTCCTGGAAACAGGTGAAGAGAGGAGGACCGAGATGGAGGGGTGATGGAAATCCCAAATGAGTTTCCTTCTGAAGCAAGACTGAAGAAGTTTGGAGTGCAAGGTTCACACTCGGCAAGTGGCAAAGACCAGGCTGTAGATCCGCAGGTGAGGTTCCTGACTCGTCACTAGGTTTTCACAGTCTGCAGGTGCACCGACCTCCTGGCCCACACTGACCCCCGGAGTGCACACTGGAGGTAGGTGTATAAAGATTTATTGTAGGGAAGACAGTGGTTCTCCACCGACTCAGGAATACTGTCTCTGTGCCTCCTCTGCCCCCACACTGCTCCACCTTCACTGCAGTGAGTGGAGGACACCTCACAGAAGGGCATGAGATGCTCCCTTGGAAGACTGAAGAACCCGGGCATCTTTATAAATAGCTACATGTTTTAACCACTTTGAAACGCACAGCAAGATGAATATTTATTTAAAAATAAACTTCAAAAATTACCTATTTACAGTACAGTAAGAGGGGCATGTGCAAACAACAGAAAGGGGAGTCCTGCTGTTGAAGGTCCACACTTCAATGTGTTGGAGCAAAGTTCACAGGCGCCACGGGCTGAACTGAGCTGTGGTGGCCACAGGATGGCATTCCGCTAACACTGTGTCTGGGGAGGGGGTGGCAAGGGGGATGAGCCATTGGAAGAGGCCCAGTGTGGCAGGAGGGCTCATTTCACAAGCCAACAGGCCTCTAGCTCACCAATCCAGGAAGTGACCTGGAGGGCCCTTCCCAGTCCAAGTTGGCTTTGTGGTGGGAACGGCAGATGTGGCAAGAATCCCAGAGATAGAAATCCTCTCTTAAAAAAAAAAAAGGGGGGGGGGGGGTTTGGAGAGATTAGCAAAAATGAATCTGAATGGAAGCGCCACCCTCTCCCTTGTCAGGAGACAAAGCAGCCATCAGCTGAAATAAGTTAGTTACTAAGTGAACTCCCACATGGTGCAGCTGACCCAGATGCCCGGCACCTACATGGTCAAGTGCAGTTCTCAGCTTCCCAGATCAATGCATTAACACTTCTTCCCCATGAAACCAGAAAGATCAGTGATGTAGCCCTTGTAGCAGGGAGGTGCAAGGCCCAGTTTATCTATACACGAGATGGGAGAACTGGGTGGACTTGTAGTTCAGCTGGTTGTTGGGCATGAACTTGTGCAGCTCGCTTTTTTTGCAGCAGGGGTCATAATGGTAGGCGTTGAGGCAGGCATCACAGGAAACTTTCGAACATTGGGTGCAGGTGTTGGTGGCACCTGGGCGATTACAGAAGCCACAGCGGGAGGTGGCTGTGGTGGAGGACTTGGATTTTGAATGGAGATGCACCTGAGTCTGGCCCGCATACTTCTCCCTCAGAGATGACCCATGGGCCAGGCTGTCATGGGTGGAGGACTTGCTGGGGAAGGTGCTGGGCTTGGAGGCTGGGGGACAGGGGAGCAGGCTGCCACAGCGCTGGCAGAGGGAGGAGCTACAGGACAGGCCGCAGTTTTGGCACTTGGATAGGGTGGTCTCTTTGGTGGGGGGGGAGTGCTTGTGGTAGAGAGGGTGGGCATCATTTCTGACCAGCCACACATCCGGTCGCAGGGCATCCTGCCTCCGGTATGCGGCCCTCGGTTCTGAGTCGGTGTAGAGATCCACGTCATCCTGAGCAGAGAAGTACGTGCCACGCAGCAGGCCAAGGCCATTGCTGGGGGAGGAGGATGGAAGGTCATCAGGGCTGCCATGGGGGGAGCTGGACATGGTCAGGAGCGAGGGGGACGGGCGGATGATCTCATCCTTGAGGTCATCCCCTACCTCTGCCGCCACAGGCTCCTTCCGCAGGCTCAGAGAGGTCTTCAGGGGTGGCTTCCGGCTCTGACTCTCCCAGTAGCTGTCGTAGGCATCCACTGACCTCGAGAGTTTGGTCACACGCGGCTTGTAGTAGTCCTTGGCCCCCCGCTCGCTGGCCGACTTCTGGAGTGCCACTCGAGCCATGGAGGCGGGGAGGTGCTCCCGGGCCTCCGCCCGCCGCCGCAGGGCGTTGGAGCAGCCCCGCACGTCCTCCGCACTGCTCTTGCGCTCGTTTACCACGTCCAGCTCGGAGTAGCCTTTGTCCTTGACTTGGGAGTGGATTTCCAGCATCTGCTCACACTCCACCTTGGCCAGAAAGAGTTCAAAGGAGACCATCTTCACCTGCAGGCTCTCCACCAATTCTGTGAGCTTGTACACAGTCCCCAGCTCAGGCACGTAGCCCATGTAATTCAGGATCGTTCGGATATCATCTTCCAGTAACGTGGACTTGACATAATAAACGAAGGGGCCCGTGTAGGTCTAGAAGGAAGGGGGACAAAGAAGCAGGACTTTCTCTCTGACACACAAGGGAGACTGCCTCAAAGTGCGGCACATCCAAGTCTGCACTGAAAGCAGGAAACCACAGGAAGGGAAGGGAGTGATCCCAATAGCTCCTCACTACAGGAGGCAGAGGTTAATGCTTACCAACAACTCAGCGGCCTGGTGTGAGGAAAATGGTGCACCACTCCTATCTTAAGCATAGGGACAAAGCCTTCAATTAGCTTTCTACTCAGGGCACACAGCACTGCTCCCCAGAAGCAGGGCCAGATGAGCAATGAGAATAGTCCTTGCTGGCATTTCTAAAAGGTCTGAAGAATATAGGTGGGGCAAATAATAATAATTGTTCATGTGGAAAATAATAATAAATACCAATACCAGAATAAACTTGTTTCACGTCCTCACAAACCTACTCTTGCCCCACCCTCTATGTCAGACTTAAGACCCTGTCTTAGTGAAAACCCTTCTGAGCCGTCACACCTTCAGATGATTCAGAATTCTCTCCCAGATTCCTCCTCCTCACTCCTCTGTTACTACTAGACCTCCTAACTGGTCTCCCTGCCCCACTCTTGTCCGTACAGTCTACTGCCCATACACCAGCCAGAGGATTCTCTTCAAATGTAAACTGATCCTGGCACCACCTTGCTTTTCAATCCTCTTAGGATAAATCCAGGCCCTCTGCCCTGGGCCTCAAGGTTCCACACAACCTGGGTGCTGCCTGCCTTTCTAGCCTCCCAGCAGCAGATGTGAGCTGCCAGGGGTGGGGACCCCGTTAAGAGATTACATTAAACAGACAGGCAAGGTGAGAAGCCATGGGGTAATTCTGGTTGTTATCTCAAAGGCGGTGGGAAACAGGAGAGTCTGCAAGCAGAGGAGGGATGTGATCCGACTGGCACAAGCCCTCGAAAGGCGGACTGGAAGGGACAAGAAAGCAGAAGGGAGACCAGTGTGGAGGGCCCTACCTTAGACCTTACCTTAATGCTTCTGAATTCCTTCTTCCATGGGTAGAGAAAGAGGTTGACACCCACCGTTTCCAGCACACTGAAGGCGCAATGCAGAGCCCGCAGGCTGGAGGAGCTCAGCGCGCGCAAGGAGCTCTCCACCACCTCATAGAATTGGATCAGCCGGAATCGATAAAAGGGATCCACCTTGTGCAGGCTGAGCAAGGTCGAGGCTGCCACCCGCAGGTACTCATCATTGCCAGGCCGCTGCTTGCTGGGGGTGGCGTCCACTTTGCCCTCATGGAACTGCACGTACTTCCGAAATAAGTCATCCTTATATTTTGTATCCATTGAACTGGGCTTCCCCATCAGATCCAGGGATGAGGGGCTACCTTATCTTCTCCATGGCCTCTGGCTTAGAGGCAGGGACATGGCTAGAAGCACTAACATGTTGCCCGCCTGGACCAGTGGAGTGTTCTGGAAGGGGAAGAATGAGAAGCAGGTCATCCCTTGCAATGGTCCACACATCAGCTGCGGCTGCTGTGGCAAAACAAAACACAGAGCTGGCCCAAGGCACAGTGGGCACCACCAGCCCTGGGCCCCATTTTGCTCCTTCATTCAGCACATTTACTGAACACGTACCACATGCTCACAGCGAGCTCACAAGTGAAAAATATTAGGGGCACATAAGCTGGTTTTGTAGGGAGGAGTCATGTTAAAAAATCCTCCTGAGGCAGGGACAGACCCAAAATATGAGGAATGTGCCAGGCAAAGAGGTGGACAAAGGGTGTCACAGCAGAGGTGCGGGAAGGGAGAAAGGCCCTGAGCTAACACTATCAGTGCTTACTGCGTGCCAGGTACTTACCCATACTAACACATTCTGTCTTCTCAAACAACCCTTGGAGAGAGATACTACTGTTATCCCCATCTTACAGATATAAAAACCGACACTTAGAGACACTAAGGAACTTGTTGAAAGTTAAAAAACTATTCAGAAACAGATCTGAGATGAGAGACCTGGCAATCTGGTTCCAAAGTCCATGCCTGTAACCACCACACCCTGCTTTCCTGAGGCAGGAAGGAAAGAGCTTGGCTATGAGCAGAAGGACGCCTACAGTGCGGCTGCAGCGGTAGCAGTGAAGGAGGGGAGATGAAGCTGCAGGCAAATGCAACATCCCATTCCCCAAGGCCTCGAAAAGCACGTTAAGAATTTTATATTTATTCCAAGAGCCGTCTGAAGCACCTGCCTGAAGAGTTCAAAGCAAGGGGAAGTGGGACATGATCCTGTTTGGAATTTTAAAAAGAGACCCTGCTGGCTGCTGGCCGCTGAGAGTGCTTATATCTATTGTGATGGCCTGCATTCCCCTTTACCGTAAGAGCAGTTACAGTTCCGCTGGGAGAGGATAGAATGTTCTGAGCTGGGACACACTCAATCTATACGCTCTTGCTGTCTGCTTGGCCACCCGTTAGTAGCATATTTACAGATCCAGCAATATTCTTGATGCCACAATGCTGGGAGCAAAATGGATTTATTGAGGAGTATTGCCAGGGCCAAGGGTGGGCAATATGGCATGGGGAGACAAACAGATTCCAAAGCAAGGCTTCCTCGAGTGAGTCCTGGGCCTGCTTTTCTAGGTTATTTTGGCAAATTACTCAACCTCTCTGGGCTTCAGTTTTCTCATCTGGAAAAAAAATAGTATCCAGGGTTCAGAGCTGGTGGGAGGATGGTATGCAATCAGTATGCTGGCTACAAAGAAGACCTTGATAGACAAGCAGCCATTCCTGTGTCTTAAGGTACTAGAACCCCCCCTAAGACGCCAAGCTTTCTCAGGAAGTTAAGATCAGAGTGGGACAAATCTGACAGAATAGATGTGCATTTTCACACTCACCTGCCCTGCCTGTCCTGTCACAGCTCCATGGGTGCAGGGAGCAGGGCATGTGCTTTACAAATAGCTGCTGTCTGAGTGAAGGAGGCTCCTAGCAGTGGAAATGACATTCGACCCCCTGACCAAGGTCAAAGGCTCTGCTCACCTCTCATAGCAGTCTCTCCCTTCCCTCAAGTTCCACCCACATGACCTGTCTGCTCCTCAAATACAGCAAGCTCCTTTCTGTCTCAGGACCTTGGCACATGTTCCTTTTGCATCTTCTTCCTCTGACTCTTCCCATAGCCGGCTCTCATTCAGGCTTCAGCTCAAATAGCAGCCGTCCCTGACAACCCCAGCTCAGTAACTCCCACCTTCCTAGTCTTTCTTTACCCACTCATCCTGGGATAATCACCATCTGAAATTACCAACCTTATTTATTCATTTACTAACTTCCTCTCTTTGTCTCCCTCCATTGTAAACTCCACAAAGGCAATACATGTGTTTTGTTCACCATGTTGCCTAACACAGCCTGGCACTTAGCAAATGTCTGATAAGACAGGTGAAATGAACGATGCAAAGGCTGTAAACAATCATGATGCTTTAGTTTCTTTGGCTGTCCCAAGAATCCTGGCGATCAACCGGAGAGAGAAGGAGCAGAGGCTCCGTGACAGGATGTGCTGTAAGTAGCTCAGGGTTAGAAAAAGTGGACCCAGAATCCCAGCCTGACCTTCTGACTTGGAGCCTGTGGTGCTCCCATCGCCCTTGATTCTTGAGTTCATCAAGAATTTACGAAGCATCTACCTCGAGCCAGGCCCTGGCTGGAGGCAGTGTGGGTAGAAACCAGGTGGTAGGAACAATAGGGGACAGCAGTTGAGAAGATATAGTCCTGCCCTCAATTCTAGTTGAAAGACTTTACAAACTATGTATGTTCTCTTGGAAAACAAAATTGTACTGCAACCCAAGAGAAGACATCACTATCCTTGCTAATAGACACCCACATGCATTTGTCACTTTTTATCTAAAGAAAGCTTCCATCCTGCCTCTGGCCCCAAAGACTGCGTGTTGGTACCTGAGAACAATTTAAATAGAGGGACATCTATCCTCCTAAACACTGCTGTGAGTTTTCATCCAAGAAAGTCAGCCTTGAGCCCCAGAAGATGATTTCTTGTTTTTATTTATTTTTTAAAATATTTTGATTGATTTCAGAGAGGGAGAGGAGAGATAGAAACATCCATGATGAGAATCATTGAACAGCTGCCTCCTGCACGCCCCCCATTGGGGATCTAGCCCGCAACCCAGGCATATGCCCTTGACCAGAATTGAACCCAGGACCCTTCAGTCCGAAAGCCGATGCTCTATGCACTGAGCCAAACCAGCCAGGGTTCTAATTTTTTTTTTTTTTTTTTTACAAAGTCAGCCATCCTCAAGCTCTGCATCTGCTGCTCTGTAATCACACCACACTCACACCCTTGTTTGTTGCTAGCAAACAATAAACAAGGAGAAGTGATCCAAATAGCCTAGTTTGTGTTCAAAATCCTAAAATCAAGGATGAGAACCCATCTAAGAATCTTGAACCAACCTAGGTAGTGAGAAAAAAAGTGAAAGACAATTAATGCTAAATGATAATTAAGGAAAGGAGAGAAGAAAACAATGATTGAGGTCCTACGTGCTAAGCATTGGGCTTTCCGCTTCAACTGCATCATCACATCTAAACCATGTAATAATGCTATGAGGAAACCAAGTCATTAAACAATCTGCCCAACAGAGCTTCAGATCAAAGCTGCATTTTATTTGAATTTGAGTTGGCCAATCCTGACGCCTGTGCTTTTCCCCATCTGCCTCATTTACTGTTAAAATTACTACCATTCACCAAGCAATTAGTATACACGGGCCCTGAAGCTCAATGTAATTCAATGAAATCCACAGGACAGCCCCAAAGTTAAAGGGAAAACTGAGGCTCAGAGAAGCCAAGTCACTTGTCCTAAGTCACAAGGCCAGCTAAGAAGTGGATCTGAGGTCTGAATCTTCGTCCGATGCCAAAATCCTGGCTCGAGCTCTCAGCCGCACTGCTTTTAAGCAAAGCTGTCAGCTGTGTCTGCTGGACAGCTCTACTTGAAAGGGCTCAACCAAGCTAGAGGGCCCTATGGCAGGGAGAGCAGAGTTGAGTTCCAAAATTCCTGTAGTAGCAAAATTCACATCTTCCCACACAGAACGGGGCTGGAAGCTCTATGATGTAAGCTCAAGGGCCAAGGGAAGAGGCTGGCCAGAGCCTGGCCAGTGGTAAAGCAGCTGACATCATCCGTCCTGATTACATTTTCTGAAAATACAGGCTGCATTATAGCTGGTCATAGCAGGTGTCTTTTCCGAGCATAGAACCAGCAATTTATTTCCAACCCTCTGCAAGAACCGAAAACACGCTCACTGCAAAAACAGTGTGGTTACAGACCAGACAGCACAGTGACAGAAGCTGTTAATTTCTCCAGGCAACCCAAGGACTGGAAAGCCAAGGCGTGCCAGTCTGGCGGAAAAAAAGAAAGAAAGAAAGAAAAAAAAGGCACTGAACATCCCTAACAAAGTCAGGCAGGTGCTCAGAGCCAAAAGGCTTGGTCAGCACTTCGCTGATTTGCTTTTTAAAAGGGACACAACCTGGGCCTCTTATGAAAAGCAAATCGGTGAAGAGAAGATATCTCAGTCAGGGAGGCGGCGGCTTTTTCGTTATTATTTTTTTAAACATCACAAAGGAAAAGTTCATCTGTTTAAAACCCCACCGAAGGGAACTGAAATGATTCTGGGAAGCAGAGCAATAGCTTGGCTTTACCTCAGCTGGCCCATTCAAGCAGAAACATTCCCCAAGCTGCATCGGAAGGCGCCCCCTCCCTGCACAGCAGGAGCTATTTTGGTCCCAGCATTGCCCAGTCCACAGGTTTACGGTCTCTGGTCTAGCTTCAGCGGGCTTAGACTTACTTCCCTCAGCCCCCCAGCAGCAGCGAGGCCAGAGCAGTTCAACCCTTGTACCTCCTCACCCCGCTCCTTTGCACTCGTTTCCAAGCCCGAGGCTCTGGGGACATATCCTAGACAGCTCCCACTGGCTGTTCAAGACCAGAGGGACCCCACACCCCAACCAGATTCCAGAGAAAATCAGAGAGAGAGGCCTTCCCAACCTCTGAAAATAACCCCGGCGGTGCTGAAACCGGGTTTCCCTAGCGGCAGCTGCCTCTCCGAGGGGCCCTGGAGGAAGCAGTTTCCCTCCCTGCAGGGGACAGAAGCTGGCGGCGGTTATTCCCAGCCTGGTAACCTTGGAAGGCCACGTCGGAGGTGTATTAAAAAAAAAAAAAAAATCCTAGACCCAAATTCGGGCCTCCCCACGGGCCTGTGAATAAGTGGACAGCAGCTATCATTTATGCGACGCCTGCTGTATGCCAGAGATGGTGCTTCACAAGCATTAGCTCATCTCATCCCTAGTACAGTCCTCACAGGTAAGCTCACTCCCGGTTAACTAATTCATTGGGCAACTGGGGCTCAGAAGATTCAGTGACTTGTCCAAGGTCACACAGTGAGCACAAACCCAAGTCAGCCGCCAAAACATTGGGCTGAGGACCACTGCGCCGTCACTGCCTCGCGGTGGAATTGGGATGTCCTCCTCCTTGGTGAGATGCCAACGAGGGGGTGTTCCTCCGGACTGCCCTGAGCCACCCTGTCTGGTCCTAGGTGCCTGCCGAGCAGTCCTTGGGGGAGCGGGGATCCTGAAGACAAGCTGGGCCCCGGGGTGCCGAGAGGCGGGCCCGCCGGGCATTCCCGCCGCACGGGAGGGGACCCCGCTCCCTGGACGCCGAGACGAACGCTCCCTCCGCCTGGGAAAACCCCCGAGGCGGCTTCCGCCGCGGTCCCCGCACTTACCCCGCCGCCGCCCCGGAGACGCCCGGCTGAGGGGAGCGAGAAAGAGCCACGGGCGCCGCCGGACCGGGCCGGGTGGGCTCTAGCCGCTGACGGCGGCTGCAGGGGCTCGAGACCAGTACCCGGGGCCAGCGGCGACCCGGAAACAATCGGCCCGGAAATGACGTTCCTCGGAGGCGGGCCCGAAGGGAGGCCGGGCCGCGGCTGCGCGCTGGGCCGGGAAAGGCCGGTGCCAACGGGCAACGGTCGAAGCAGCGGAAGGCCGAAGAGCGAGCACGGAAACGGCGGAATATCCCTCGAGAGGTTGAAAGGCAATACCCCAGCTGGGGCCAGGACCCGGAAGTAAACGGGTCGGGAAGTGACGCACGCCGGCCGCCCCTGGGTGGCAGCTAGCCGAGTTGTCATGGGAACCGGTGAGGAGCGGGACGGTGGAGTCCGCGCTGCCGGCGCAGACTGAGCGGCCCTCGGCCTCCGCCTCCCGGACTTGCCCACCGTGGGGATGACCCCGGAGCAGAGGCTGACAGTTGGGTCCCTCCTCCTTACAGGCGGAGATGCCCAGGCTTGCAGAAGCCAGAGAAGCCGGGATCGCGCGAGGCTGAGTCCCGCCTGGAGAGGGATGTTGATGTTCAGGCTGTCTGTCCTTGAGAGGAAGGTGTCCCAGCTTTGCCTTTGCCCCTTACTAGCTGCCTGACCCTGGGAAAGTTACTTAACCTCCCCGCGCCTCCGTTTTTTCACCTGTAAAACGGAGTTGTAATAGTACCGTCTCCTGGAATTCATGTGAGAATTGAATTTCATATATGGAAACCGCTTATTGCCATAGTTGGCATAAAGATCTAAATATATTTTCTTTTTTAAACCTGGTTAAGTTAAAAGAAATGACCTCTCTCTTGCCCTCAATTTCCTTAAAGGGAAGTCAGCATTGGGGAAAACCAAGATATTGCCTCATTTCTTTGACTTTTCACCAGGCACCTGTGGTAGCTAGCGGCGTGACCTATCTTGGCATCGATATTGGTGGCTTGTTACTTCACTTCGTGGGTTTGTCTTTGGTCCCACCCACCACCTTGCCCATAAGCTCCCCGAGGACTCGGTTTTTGTGGTTCACCACTCACTGAATCTGTAATGCTTGCAAAGTGCCTAGTACATACTCAAGGCTGTTGAACATATTTGCAACTGAACCATTCATTCTATCTCTCTAGCTTATCCCAGACATTTATTCAAGACTAGAGCCCACTCCATGCCAAGTTCTCTTCCTCCAACATGCTCTGGCTCCCTGCGCTTCTCATGCTTTTCTACTCTCCTGGCCTCTGCCTCTATTTGCTGTTCCCACCGTGTAAATGTCCTTCCTAGTTTTTCTGGCTTCCAGCCCCAGCTCAGTCCTCACAGCCTTTTGGAAGCTTTCCATGATATTTCCAGGCAAAAACCAGCCTCCTCTGGTTCCCCACAACACTGTCATCATTTTTAAAAAATATTTTTTATTGATATCAGAGAGGAAGGAGAGGGAGTAAGAGATAAAACATGGATGATGAGAGAAAATCATTGATCAGCTGCCTCTTGCACACCCCCAACTGGGAATGGAGCCTAAAACCCTGGCATGTGACCTTACTGGGAATCAAACTGTGACTTCCGGTTCATAGGTTCCCCTCTCATAGGGTGTGGTGTTTTTTAATCACTCGGGCTGGGCTGTCTTTCATCATTTTATCTCAGCTCTTAACCACAGTGGACCTGACTCCCCACAAGACCTGGAGCTCCTTATACATCTGTTTTCCCTGAGCTCTGAACAAGCCTAATCATGAGGTGCCCAATAGTTATTCCTTAATTGTAGGATTCTCTCTCTCTCTCAGCCTCGGTGTCCCGAGCAAAAGCCAGTGGGCTTGTCTCAGGAGTCAATGACATAATACATGGGGAGGCATTTGGAGAACCAACAACCTGCTTGCTATCCAAACAGCAGGGATCGCCGAAACCGGTTTGGCTCAGTGGATAGAGCATCGGCCTGCGGACCGAAAGGTCCCAGGTTCAATTCCAGTCAAGTGCATGTACCTTGGTTGCGGGCACATCCCCAGTAAGGGGTGTGCAAGAGGCAGCTGATTGATGTTTCTCTCTCATTGATGTTTCTAGCTCTCTATCCCTCTCTCTTCCTCTCTGTAAAAAATCAATAAAATATATATGTAAAAAAAAAAGAAATACAAACAGCAGGGATTACTATATCTGTTGCTGTTTGAGCATCACTCAAGGACTTTATGTACTGTACTTCATTCAGTCTTTATCAGCTAGTGTGTAAGCTCCTTTCTTAATCACCTGCAAAGTGGTAGTATTTGCAGGAATTCCAGCCTCATCCAAACTCTCTGACTTTGCAACAACTCTAAACTGTCCTTTGGAAGCTGTTGCAAGACTGCATGAGCCTGCTAATAAGTCCCTTCCAGCTCTGTGGTTCTGTGAGAGTCAAAAGGGGAACAGATTTTTAAGAAGGTTTTGCCAGTAGGAAACCTTGGTCATTGAGACTTGGTGACATTTAAAATCAGAAAAAACCCAAAGTCACTGAAGAGAACCACGTTTCTCATATTTTAGACGGGGTTGAAGGCCCGAGATTTCTTCGCTTGGTGATGTGGAATCACAGAAGTATCTTTTATAGATTTTATTACATAATGATTAGCAGATTATATAACAGTCATCTGACAGTGATTAAGCACCTCTGCTTCATAAGAGCCAAAAACAGGAATAATCTACCTACTTCTATTTTATAGGGGTGTGGTGTTTTTTAATCACAAAAGTAACACATGAATTCCAGCAATATAGGCATGTATAGGACAAAAAAGGAAAGCAATCCAATAATCAAGCAATTGATTTACTGGAATTACAAGTGTAAATACACAAGAGACCTGTCTCTTCATTGTCTGTAATGCAAAAACATTCTAGCCCGACCAGTGTGGCTCAGTGGTAGAGTATTGACCTATGAACCAGGAGGTCAGAGTTCGATTCCTTATCAGAACATGTGCCTAGGTTTGGGGCTTAATCCCCAGTAGGGGATGTGCAGGAGGCAGCCAATCAATTATCCTCTGTCATCATTGATGTTTCTGTCTCTCTCTTTCTCCCCCCTTCCTCTCTGAAATCAATAAAAATATTTTTAAACATTCCAAGAATAAAAATGAGAAAACATTCTAAATGTCCATCAGTAGGGGAATGGTGTATCTGTACTAATGATTACTATGGATAACTTTTAAAGGATTACATAACTTTGCAATACATGCAGTGGAATTAAAAAGATATACCCTGGAATGGAAAACAAAACATCAACCAATACTAGATATTTTCTAAGGATGCATACATACTGGGACAGTAATAAAATGTAGATCATTATTTTGAGTCATTCCACAAATTCATATTAAGTGATTTTAATTTCTCCTGCAAAATCATCTCCATGAGGACATGGCTACACCTGTTTTGCTCACAATTTTATTACTACTATCTGCCCCACAAGCAGTAAGAGGTTCAACAGTATCTATTTCTGATGGAATTTTTCATTGATGTTAGATTTAAAGAGCATATAACTGAGCAAAACAGACACTGCCCCTGCCCTCAAGGGAGCCAACAATAGGAACAGTCTTCTTATCAGAAAGACAATATTAATAAACTAGGAGTAGGATGAACTAAAAACCTATCATTCAAAATCGAAGGTGGTAAATGTTATGAGAGGGGGGTATAGAGCTTATAGGATGGAGAGGGGACATTGGACAGGGCAAATTGGGACAGCCACAAGGAGGAGGTAACATTTGAGCTGGGCTTGGAGTGTGTTGGACTTGTGAAGCTCTCCAGCCTTCCTCCCAGCTGGAGGGAAGAAAGCAATCGAAAGAAAGTACTGGAAATTGAAAATTGTCTCCAAGCATATAAGGTGGGCATTACTAGGTACTAGAGAAGGATATTTTCATACTATATAGGGTATCAGACATTAGTATTAACATAATATCTGGCTTACAGGGAGTCTCCAATAAATATTTTAGTGAGAAAATATGTATTACTGAACCCCTACCGTGCTCCAGCTGATTGTTGCCAATTTCCCTACTAATTGTGATCAGATATTTAGGTTTCTGAAGAGAAGCAGTACAGATTTTTAAATGAAGCTTCTCAATTACAAACCCCATGTGTAAATACACTTCCTAGTTCCACCTGCTGAGAGAGCCCACAAGAAGCGACACCCCTATAGCAACAGTCACCCAAATCTTGCTTTCTAAATACCATTCTCCACTGAAAGGAGCCAAGGCTCCTTGGAGAAATTACATTCTCAGGGCTCGGGCAATGTGTATCTGGAACATCTTTTTGAGACAGAAAGTAGGGATATGTTAAAAGAGTAATGGGACATGTTAAAAGGACAAAAAAGCTAGGTTGGAGGCGTTCCTTTTGGACAAATCTGGGACAATTGGAACATCAAAATAAATAATGACAGTAACAGACTGTAAGGCTTTAGTGAAAGGGGAAAAAAAACCATACTGATACCAAACATAAAATACTGTGTTTGCCCCAGGGCTATGTGGCCCTGGGTGCCAGGTCTCACCCCTGCACTCTAATAAGGATGGATAAGGAACAAGTCGTTCATCTGGTTAGAAAAATGAGTGCACAGGGTGAGCTGTGAAATTGGGATGATGGGATATCAGCCTAGTCTCTGAGGATCTCAAATGTCAGGTAGAGCTGCTTTGTCCCTGTGGGCACCTGGGAGCCACTGAAGGTCTATGCACAAGAAAGATGGTGATCACAGCCCTTGCTCTCTAGACCAGGTGTATGGTGCTGGGAGGCAACAGAGTATAGTGAATAAGAAATCAGCATTTAAGGTCCCCAGCAACATGGCACAGAAATTACCCTACAACCAGTAGACCTAGGTTCAAGTATGGCATTTAGTAGTCCTATTGAGATAGGCTCATAAGCCAGGACAAGTGGAATAAGAAAATGGAGACAGATAGTTAAACAAGCAGTTTGCAGATAGTAAATGCTATCTTCCCTAAAACAAGGATACTGGTTTAGTCCAGCCAGTGTAGCTCAGTGGTTGAGCGTTGACCTATGAACCAGGAGGTCATGGTTTGATTCCTGGTCAATGCACATGCCCAGGGCATAGGCTCAATCCCCAGTAGAAGGTGTGCAGGAGGCAGCCAATCAATGATTCTCTTTAATCACTGATGTTTCTATCTTTCTCTTCCGTCCCCTTCTTCTCTCTGAAATAAATTTTAAAAATATATATTTAAGAATTACCATATGACCTAGCAATTCTTACTCCTAGGTATCTACCAAAATA